TATATCAGTGCAAAGTTTAGATTCTATATCATTGTAAAGTAGTTGTGGTTGAGTTTTTTCTCAAGGAGCTTTCTGAGAAAAGGCACTTAGTCATTTTCAATTTTGGAGTTTGTGTTATAAATCATCTTTTGACTAGTTTCTTCTTTGTGGTTCCTGTCTGAAATTCTAGTCCAATCATATACTTTAAGAATCATCTCCAAATATTTTTCATTTTGCTCTGGAAATTCAATTCATAGATCCCTCAAGGTCAGTAACACTGTTAATCTATTAACAAACAACCTCTGACAAGAATCTGGAAATAGTTTTTGAGCTATGCCAATTTGACACTGTATGGGTTCATTTTATTTAGTATTTATTTTTACAACAGTTTACAACAATAGCTCCTTTAAATAAAGTATTCTGCAATTTTATCAGGGAATACATCTAATAATCTGCCTAAGAAGACAGTGTGGTGGGTGTTTATCTTCTAACATTAGAACCTGACTGTCCATAACACTGCTTTCTGAGTTCACTGCATTATTAGAGTGGAATTGAATTAAAACATGGGTTTTTTTTCCAACCATATTATACTTTTGCATCCAAAGCATCCATTTTCCCTTTTTGCTTTTCTCAGTTTAAACTCTTTCCCAGACTCATAGAATCACAGGATGGTTTAGGTTGGAAGGGACCTTAAAGATTATCTAGTTCCAACACCCCTATCATGGGCAGGGTATCTTGCACTAGACCACGTTTCCCAAAGCCCCATCCAGCCTGGTCTTGAACACTTCTGGAGACTGAGGAGTCCACAACTGCTCTTGGCCACCTGTTCCAATACCTTGTCACCCTCACAAGAAAGAGTTTCTCAGAGTTCCTAATATCTTATCTAAACCTACCCTCTTTCAGCTTAAAGCCATTTCCCCTTGTCATGTCATTACATGCCCTTGTTAAAAAAATCCCTCTCCAGGTTTCTTGTAAGCCCCTCTTTGCTACTGGGATGCTGCTATAAAGCCTCCCTGAAGCCTCCTCTTCTCCAGGCTTGAGAGTCCCAACTCTCTCAGCCTGTCTTCACAGGAGAAATTCCTGAAAGATTTTGCTTCCTGTGTTCCAGCCCTGTGAGTGGTCTTAGTGAACTTGTTCCAGCCAATGTCTTTCCTGCATTGAGGACCCCAGAGCTGGATGCAGCACTCCAACTGGAGTTTCCCAGAGCAGAGTAGAAGGACAGAATCCTTCCCCTTGCCCTGCAGGCCATACTGTTTTTTGATGCAGCCTAGGATGGGGCTGGCTTTCTGGGCTGCAAGTGCACTTTGCCAGTTTGTGTTTTGCTTCTTGTCCACAAGCAACCCCCAATCTGTCTATCCAGGGCTGCTCTCAATCCATTCTCTGCACAGCCTGTATTTGGGCTTGGAATTGCCCGAATCCAGGTGGAGGACCTTGAACTTGGCCTTGTTGAACTTTATGAGGTTCACACAAATGGACTCTGAAGCCTGTCAAGGTCCTTCTGGATGACATCCCCTCCCTCCAGCGTGTCAAACGCACCAAAGAGCTGGGTGTCATCAGCAAACTCGCTGAAGGTGCGCGAAACCCCACTGCCCACGCCAATAACAAAACTGTTGAAAGTGCCAATATCAGCCCCAGAGGAGGAAGAAAGAAAATTCTTTTACTTTAAAAATTAATATTGCTTTGTTAGTTCTTTCCTTTCTGTAATATCCTTGAAGCACATTAAACATTTGAAGTTAGCAGGTGTGATGTGAAAAAGTGCAGTTGTTTAACTAAAAATTTTGAAGTAAAGGGATAAAATGCTTTCAAAATCAGATCTATATTTTCTCTTGCTATGTGAGGAAGTCCCTTATGATTCTGATATCTGTGGAAGAGAAGGAAGCTACATAATACTATTTTAATAGTCTTTGTTACTACTTTGTCCTACTTTCCACTTTTCTCCTTTTAGAAACACAGACAAAGTGAGACTTTTGAAAAAGTAACTCATGTAGAGAGTCTGTATTATTTCTATGTTTGTTTGTGGATAAGTTTTAGTTTCTCTCCACCTTCATCTCATTAGGAAGTCAGAATAAAGATCCAGTTCTGTCCTGTAATTTTCATTACATAAATCCACAATGCACTTTGCCATGTTAGTGTGATCTTCTAAGGAAGAGTTGCATTTCCACAGCTTTTCATCTGTGCATACCTGACCAGAGTGCTGCCATTTCACATATCCAGCAGCTCCTGCACACAGCTGATTCCTTGAAGTGACGTGAGAAAATCTAATAGCAAGTCTGCCTGTGGCAAATGAGAGGTAGATATACATGGACAGAAGTGGTGCAGACTTGTCTTTTTCTTCTGTATTTACCCCCTGTCTTGCATGCCCTGCTTTCTGGTATTGACTCACCCCAAATTCAACATGACCACAAAATCTGAGAGTGGTTGCTTGATACTGAAGGAATTGCTAGTAATGGGAAAAAAACAAAGAGTACATTGGTGCATGAAAAGGAAAGATTTTCACAGAACAGCCATTTGTCCTATGCAGTCCCATATGCAAGTGTTGGTGGAACTTCATCTTTCACCAAGACAAGCAAAACAAAACATGTTGATGCATGGTAGCACAGTTTCATTTTTGACTAGAAGTCATGTCAGGGATATGAGGTTTTCTACTTTTTATACAATTAACTAGCATGCTGCAATTTCCTTCTATAATTGGCATACTTAACTGGATGATCTCCTGCTGTTTGAATGATTTGCATCTTCCCATGTATTGTTTTTTGCTTGCTGAATCTCTACTGTGACTAAACTAGAAGCAGTCTAGTGTACAGTCTGTACTCTTTTTGCTACTGCTTTGCTATTCTCATTTACTCTTTGTTTAGCTGATAAAAATGAGTGCTCTGCTCAGAGAGAATATTGGAATATTTTCTCTCTAATACCTGTTTAGCAGCACTTAGGTGTAACAGGTTTGTTTTTTTTTTTGCTGATACACCTAATAGACTTCACATTGACCTATGTAATACTGCTTCATGCCACATGCTGGCCTTTTTTTAATATAAATTACTGTGTCTGTAATCAAGGACATATTTCTTAATGATAAACTTAGAAGCACAGACAATGTGAGTTTTTATGAAGTTCCCAATACAGCTTGATCTTCCTTTTATTTCTTCTTTATTTCTTCATCCCATTGTCACCATTAGACATGTCTAATTAGACTTTTCTCTACTAGGGAGAGTTGAAGGATAGCACAAATAGTTCAGAAATGTTTGGATAATGTAGGAACATAATTTTTTTCAGTAAATATATAAAATAAAATGGCAGTCAAAATACGAAGACTGGTTATAAGAAGGTTGCATTGTGTGAAAGGAGTCTTTGTTGAAAAGAGAAATTCAATGTTTGACATGAAACCTGAACACTCAAATTTGAAATTACATGGCTGGCAAACTTTCCCAGGATTATTTTGGCAGTCTCCATCTCAAAGGTCAACAAGCGTCAGTACATAGCATATTATTAACAGCCTTTTTACATTTGCAATGCTGATGTGAATGTAGTCTGTCTTTTAATGAAAAGTTTTCTTATTTAATTTCAAAAAGAAAGTGTTCATGTGATAGTGGACTGTGGCACAAAAAATGAAGAATTCTCTGATAGCTGTATCATACAAAAGCAGCTGTTAATTACTCATTTAGTACTTGATCTCAAAAGGTGTTATTTTTAAATAAGCAGAGTGGTTGGCACATAAACCTAATTCAGTTCATGCACAGCATAACATAAACTCAGTAAATAGTCGCCAGTTATTTAATGAAACTTAATGAAGAAACAACCACCTGCTCTCCTTTTCTTTCTCTTCCTCTTTCTTTTTTTTT